GGGCCCTGGACACCCCGATTCAAACCCACCATGGGGCTGTGTTCCAGGTTCACACACACTGCAGTTCACACACACCCCTGGGCCCTGGACACCCCAATTCAAACCCACCCTGGGGCTGTGTGCTCCAGTTTCACACACACCTATGGACCCTGGACACCCCAATTCAAACTCACCCTGGGGCTGTGTACTCCAGGTTCACACCCACTGCAGTTCACACCCACCCCTGGACCGTGGACACCCCGATTCAAACCCACCCTGGGGCTGTGTGCTCCAGGTTCACATCCACCCCAGTTCACACCCACCCCGGGCCCTGGGCACCCACTTCACATGCCAGTTCACATCCATGCCCACCCCACTTCATAGCTAGTCCCCCCCCTCATGTGTCCCCAGTTCACATACAACCCTGGTGCTCTGGCACCCCACTGCCCTGTGCCCCCGTACACGTGCCTTGAGCAGTCGCTTGAGAAGAGCCTTGTCCCGGTGCAGGTGGGCTGTGTATGCCGTGTAGAGGCCTGAGGAGAAGACATTATGCTGTGTCCCCAAGGCCCCCAGCAGCCCCAAATCTCACCCCACCCTAAGATGTGAGGAGTGGCGGCATGGGGAGGCCTGACCGGGAGGGGCTGCCAAGTGGGAGAAGACATGCACCCCCTAAGCATGGGGCTCAGCCCAGGGAGGCACCGACCCGGCTTGGTGTCCAGGGTCTTCAGGCGCGAGGGCCTTTTCAGCTTGACCTGCTTAGGAAGGTCCCCTGCAGAACATGTCAAAGGCCGGCTCAGTGTTAAGGGTTCCCGGAGGGCACACTGCCACCTTGTTCCCCAAGGCCCCTTCCTCAGCCAGCTGGCCTCACCTGACATTTTTGGCTCCCCGATGCGGAGGATGTGGGGCCAGTGCTGGAGTGTTTTGATAAAGAAAGGGTTTGTGACTCCCAGGACCACATTTGGTCTAGAGAGAGAGAGAGGAGGGAAGAGGCAGAGAGACAGGCCCAGGGTGGCAGAGAGAAGGCTGCCGCCGCCACCGAAACACTTGGAAAGGAGAGGGCTGAGGAGGGCAGTGGCCAGGGAAGGGGAGCTTGGGCCGAAAGGCCAGGGTAGGAGGAGAGCAGGCAGGCTGTGGAGGAAGGGGTGACAAGAAAGGAGGGGCTCTGCGGAGGGGACAAGGTGCCGGGGTATGGGACACTTACGGGGTCTGGGTCCGAGTGGTGAACTCCTTGAACTCGCTGTCGTGGATGGTAAAGTAGGGGCGGTAATCACAGCAGAACTTGAGGGGTCTCAGGCAGCTGTAGCCATGGGAAGAGCAGAGAGGGGTGAGGTAGGGTGTGGGCCCTCCCTAAGAATGTGGACAGGAGGGAGGAGTGAGGACCCAAGCCCACCCCTAGACTTGCATCCCTGCTGGAAGGCCAAGTACCTGGTCAGGGCCAACACCATCTCTGAGGACACGGCAGGTGAGGGCGCCAGGACCACCAGGGGCTCCCCGAGTAGCACAAGCTCCCACAGAGTCTGTACAAGGGTCAGCACGGGCTGCAGACACCTGGCCGGGGCGCGGGGGGCTCAGAGGGGCGTGGGGGGCACCGAGAGCAATGCAGAGGGGTGGTAGGGTAGCACCCTGGTGAGGCTCACCTGAACAGGTCCAGCTCGTGGACACTGGCGAGGAACACCGGGGCAGGCATCAGGTTCTGAGGGAGGGCAGGGCTCATGGGCTGAGGGCGGCAAGGTAGGTCTCCCAAGCCCCTCAGCAGCACCTTGGCAGAGGAAAGCCCTCCCAACACAGCCGTGCATTTGCCTTTACCCCGCACACCCAACTGGCATGCAGGGGAGGGCGATTTGTGGTCTGGGGCCTCACAAAGGACCCCCCCCCAACCCTACCTCCTGGCTGCACTGCTTTGGGGGGCTCCAATCAGGCTGGTCCACTCGGGTCGGGATACACACCTGCAGAGAACGGGCAGTGCAGGGGATCGGGCCTCGATTACCAATGCCTGCCTGCCCCTCATGTGCCCACCTGCCAGCTCTCACCTGGACAACGACCCCCATAACAGGCAGGTTCAGGACCCGCCCCGGCACAGGTGCTGGCCACTGATCGATCTCGTTGCACACTATGAACAAGGGCAGCTGGTCAGGGAGGGGTCCTCGGCGAAGTGCCCAAGGTCACACCTGCCCTCACTCACCAGCCTCCAGGCAAGGTACCAGCTTGTCAAAGTACTCAGGGGCGACCAGGCTCAGCAAAGCCTGGAACAGTCTGACGAAGGGCAGCCGGGACACCAGCACCAGGGACTGTGGAGCCAGGAGTGGTCAGGGAGCTCAGGCCAGGGGCCTCCCAGCCACCCAGGAGGCTAGGGCTATCCTGAGGGAGCCAGAGAGCCTGCTCATGTGCCCCTGAGACCCAGGGAGGGCCATCAGAGACACGGGACAGCCCCTACAGCCGGTGGGCCAGCTGCAGAAGAAAATGCCAGTGGACACAGTCTAGATCGGTCCCCCACGGGCTGCCTGAATCCACAGGTGCCATGTGCAAGGAGGAGCAGGAGTGTCCTGGGCCAGAGGTGGAAGGACTACGAGCCGCCAGGAGAGTCAGTGGAGTGGACCCTCCCACTGCCCATGGCCTGTGTCCCCGCCCGGAGAGCAGGTGGAGTGGACCCTCCCGCTGCCCGTGTCCCCGTGGCCCGTGTCCCCGTCCGGAGAGCAGGTGGAGTGGACCCTCCCGCTGCCCGTGGCCCCGTGGCCTGTGTCCCCGTCCAGAAAGCAGGTGGAGTGGACCCTCCCACTGCCCATGGCCCCGTGGCCCGTGTCCCTGTCCAGAGAGCAGGTGGAGTGGACCCTCCCGCTGCCCATGGCCCCGTGGCCTGTGTCCCCGTCCAGAGAGCAGGTGGAGTGGACCCTCCCGCTGCCCGTGGCCCCGTGGCCTCCCCAGAGACAAGCCTCTCACCTTCTGGAAATAGCCCCTCTTCACGGAGCTGTCCCTCACCTGCCGGAAGTACACGTAGCCAAAGTAGTGTGCTGTCTCCCGCTGGGAGGAGGGCAGGGTCACTGGGCGGCCACTGCCTGACTCTTGCCCTCCCAGCCTGTCCTGTGGCCACCAGACTGGACACTGAAGTAGAAGCCCCGGGGCTGACAGGGGCTCAACTTCTGCTCATGCCAGCCACAGCCAGATTCGCTGCGTGGGGTGTAGGGACAGCTCCCAGAGTCAGCAGGGGTCCCCTAAACCAAGGTCTGAGCTGTGGGGCTGGCGGGGCCTGAGTGGGAGCTGCCAGTGATCCCTGCAAGCCTGGCCATAGGCGCCCACCCCCAGCTGGGCCCTCACCTGCAGCGACACAGGGGCCCTGCGGCTGTAGTGACAGTCGTCGGCATGCCAGGGGCTCCTCGGGCCCCCCGACTGGCGGATGCGGAAGCTGAACTGAGTGTCCCCGAGACAGCCTGGGAGGGAGCCGGCCCACAGGTCAGGGCCAGACCTGGGGGAGCCCAGCCTTAGGGGTAGACACAGGCTGCTGGGAGGACTCTCTGCAGCCTGTAGATGGATGTGGCAGGTGAGGGACATTGAGGCAGGTGGGAGGGGGCTAGTCGAGTGGCCTACCTGAGTGGGAGTCGGGGAAGGACAGGTAGCAAATGCTACTTTTCTGGAACAGAGAAAGAAGGCTGAGCAGTGCTGAGCAGCTGCTGGCTGCAGCGTCCTCCCCCGGGCCAAGACTTACCTCCTTGTCTGTGAGCCGGAAGTCAGTGGGGTACACGAGCTGTAGGAGGCAGAGCACAGGGTTAGCTGTGGTGATGGGGGCACCCCTCCCAGGGCCCTGCCTCCTTTCCTGGGCTCCTCTGCCAGCCCAGAGTTATCACCCTGCTGCCGGCTCTCCACAGCTCCCCTTCAGTCTGACCAAGGTCAGTGTGCACATCCCAAAGGGTTGCTTGCTGTGGCCCACCAAACCAGCCCATCTTTCCTCGGACAGCTTCTCACCCCTGTCCCTTAACCATGCTCTGCCTTCTGCCCGGACGGTCATAGGGTGGTCCACCACTAACCATAGGGTGGTCCACCACTAACCACCAGTCAGGTAGGCAGGAACTCAGAGTCCCAGAGGCTGAGAAAGTCCTTGAGGGGGTCGGACAGGTCCCCCTGCTACTGTGAAGGTAAAGATGCTGGGGCTGGGGGTGGTGGTGGGGTACACCTCAGCTTTCCAGGCCCCTGGGTGAGAGGGGAGGAGGTGGGAGAGCTGAGAAGGATCAGAATCCACCCAAAAGTGTGCTCTCCCAGCCCCCCGAGACTCTCCAGACAGATGGGCGCTGCCCCAGGAGCCCTCACCACCCAGAGGCCCTGGCAGGTCACGCATTGTCCCTGCAATGCTCTGTCCTTGGTGAGAAGTTTGTGGCCCTCGGCAGAGCACAGAGCTGTGGACACATTCGTGGACTGTAACCGAATAAGGGTGACCGGGATCAAAGAGAGGACAGCAAAGGGCCACAGAGGAGGGGTCAAGAGCGGGAGGGAAGCCCTGAGGCCAGAGAGCCATGAGGGAGACCCCCTGGCAATCTACATGGAGGACAGAGCACAGGCAGGGGAGTGGGGGACAGCCGTCGGAGCCCTGTCAGGATGAGGCCGGAGGTTGGGGGACCAGAATGGGTATCCTGAAAGGGGGTTGTGGAGCAGTGGGCGGCATTGAGTGCTCTCCCCAGGCCAGGATCGGACATTGGGGTGGGGGCTGTCCCTGCATAGAGCACACTGCTTTCTGTTGAAGCCATCTGCTCCCTCCCTTTGCAGACACAGGCGGGTACCAGGGGCCCAGCGCGCTCCATTTCCACTGCCTTTCCCTCCAATACAGAAGCAATGATGAGCCTTAATGAGGCTGCTGGTACCAGGGTGCAGGTAATTCCATCAGGCCCACATGTTATTCATCAGATACACAAAGAGGTCCAACAATGGACCCTACTTGGGTGCAGAGTCATCAAGCTCAGCTGCTGACCAGAAGGTTGATGGTTCAAGTCCCATCAGAGGTGTCTTACAAGAAAAGCTCAGTGATGGACTTCTGAAAACCCAGCCACTGAAATCCCCATTGCTGTTGTTAAGTGGCATCAAGTCCCTTCCGACTGATAGCTACCCTGTAGAGGGCTTCTGGGGAGCAGCTGGTGGGTTTGAACTGCCGACCCTGTGGTTAGCAGCACAATGCTTATCCTACAGCGCCACGGCAGGACCCCAGGGAAAGCTGTACAGAGCGTAATTCTAACACACATGAGGGCTCTGGGAGCCGGGCTGAGCGCTCTTCTCACCACAATGTCTTTGTAAAACAGATGTTTGCATAAAAATGTGCTAAGCTAAAACATGAGTTTGTTATTTTTTAAAAATAAACACTCAACGTTTTTGTTTAAATTTTCATTGTAGTGAATTTGAACAATCCTGAGTCATTTTTAGGATTATACGGGAGTCTGGTGGCCCAAACATTTTTGAGCTGTTGGCCTTGGGGGGCACAGGTGCACGGTGCATGAGGCTGGGGGGGAGGTGGGGAGCTGTTGCCTGGGGGCGGGGGCACGGATACGGCAGTGGATGAGGCTCTGTGTGAACAGAGTTCACTGTGGGTTTTCTGAGTCAGCGGGAGCATCAGGAGACCAGCTGATGGTCTATTTCAGGGGCAAACTTTTGCACCCACCCTCCACAGCCTGCATTCCACCCACCACGCCCTGCTCCACACCAAGATTCAAGTGCTCCATCCGGGTTGAGGCATCTATCTAGTACAGGCATCTATCTATCAGTTTGAACTACAAGGTTGGCAGTTGAAACCCACCAGCTGCTCCTCCGAAACCCTATACAGGGTCACTATAAGTTGGAATCTACTCTATGGTACTTTACCAACAACATCATTACCATGGAGTCATGGTGTGGCGCTGTAGGATCAATGCTGGATTGCTAATCGAAAAATCCACAGTTCAAACCCACTAGCTGCTCTTCGGAAACCCTGTCTTCTCCTTGGGTTCCAGGTTGGTTCCAATGCTGGCACTACAGGACCTGAATGGGGCTGCTGCTCCATGCTTTGTTAAATGAATGAGTGAGGGAATGAGCTCCTTGCTGTCCAGCTGCTTTCTCCTCCAAGGCTTGGCCAAGGCTCCATTCCTCTGGGCACTGCTTCTGATGCCCACCTGCCCACCAGGACACGTCCTTCCTCTGCACATGTGCCAGTCAAGTGGCTTGCCTTTCTGGTAGGCTTTCTAGCTTCATCTCACCCTAACACCCAGTATAGGGTGGGGTGCTGAGCCAGAGCTGAGCTGGGAATACCCAAGTAGAGGGCCAGTTGTCACCATTCTTCCTGATGATGTCAAGGGCTCGGAGGGAAGAAAGAGGCGCCGGGTGCAAGCAGGGAGTCTGCACCTTCTGAGGGATTCAATGGCCTGATTTCTACATTTCAGAGGTGACTCTGGGCCCCCAACATTGCACTGGTCCTGACATAGCCCAAGGTGTGAACACAGGAAAGACAGGAAGGAAGCCCAACCACACACAGCTTGTAGCAGAAGGTGCTAGAGCGAACTTTGTTAATAGTGACAGTTCTGTAAGGATGGGGAACACTTCATTCCATGACTGAGGAGCAATCTGGCAGAACGTAGACTCTGGGACAGCCAGGTATGAGCTGTGTGACCCTGGAAAGATTACTTCACCTCTCTGAGCTCTGGGAGTTATTAGGAAGAGCGGGCACCCCATGAAGGGTGTGTGGGGGGGGGTGAGTAGGTCTTCACAGAGAGCTGGGCAAAGAGTCTGGTGTGCAAGTCCTTCCCAGAGCTGCTCCTCTTTTGTAGCAGACCCTGGGTGTCCACGCACCTCAGAGCTAAGCCGGTGTACGAGGTCTGTGTCTACCCCAGCTGTACAGGGGGCTGGCCAGCTCTTCTAAGGACAACAGCGCAGTCTCACCCTGGAAAAGCCAGTGATGGGTGCTCACTACCTCTTGGGCTTCCATAAGTTTCCTATGGGTGGCTATTCAGCACAGAAGACAATCCTGAAGGGGCCTGAGGTACCTCCCTGAGGGGCCTGCAGGTTTTCGTCTTCATCCAAAGGAAGAGACAGGCTTGTGTGTGGTGGGGGTGGGCGCAGCTGTGGAAGACCACAACCATGGAACTGAAAGATGACTTGTCTCATTCATGCACAAGGCTGAGAGCCGTGTTAAAGGAGGATGCCGGGTAGAGGACCAGCCGGGCGAGCAGGGAAACACAGAGGCTAGACGTGGCCAGGTTACTGCAATCATAGAGAGGTCATCTGGATGTGGGGGTGGGAGCAGGGTGGAGGAAACCAGGGGTCAAGGGTGAGCCCTGGGACTCGCTCGGGATAGAGCAATTGAAGGTACTATTACTGATAAGGGGGAGAGAGAGAGTTTTTTTATGTGAAAAAAATCGAGAGTATTGCTACGTCTCTCCAAAGCGCAGAGCCCCTGTCTCCTCCTGACAACGTGACCACGGAAATCAAGTCTTAACCATCGATTTGAACATTGGTTCGGGGGTGTGTGCGTGGGGGTGAGGGCGCAAGTGCTGGGGTCAGGTGCATCTTTCCACAGAAAGCGGAAGGGGTAACTTTCTTCGGAGGCAGGTGGGATAGGGTCATGGGGGTGATCTTCCCGAGGGTATGCGTGCACCACTGAGGACCCCCAACGAGGCTGGAAGGCAGCGTGGTTGGCCGGCCTGGAGGATGACTCGCCGGCTGTCCTGTGGGGGCGGGAGAGACGAAGGCCCGGGCCTCCCCGGCCCACCCACCCCCGGCTCACCTCCAGCGCCTGGCCTAGCTCCAGGTCGAAGGTGACCACGCACACGCACTCCAGCCAGGCGGAGAAGCGCGCCCAGGGCGGCGCCGGAGCCCGTACTGCGTGGCTTGAGGACGGCGGGGCGGCCGCGGGGCCCGGCTCTGGGGTTGGCACGCCGAGGCCGCCACGAGCCCTACGAGGCCCAGCACCCGACGGCACCTCCATTGCGGCAGCGGCGGCGCGTTGCCAGGGGAACGCGCGCCGGGGAGGTGGTGGGAGGCGCGCGTCGTGCTGTGCTGCGGGTCAGAGCGGGCTCCCTGCCACCTCGCGCGCCACCTATCGGGCGGAGGAGCGCAGCGCGGCCGAGTCAACGGCGAGTGGGTCCGCGTGCACCAGAGCCGCAGGTGGCCCGCGGGAGGAACTTCCGGGGCGGGGACAGGCTGGGAGCCGTTTAGTATGCACCTGGCGTCCTACGCTAAAGGGGTCCTGCAGCGGCCGGATTCCAGTCCCGGCAGCATTTTGAACAACTTTCACAAGTGAAGCGAATCTTTATGTTAAACTCCTATTTCGCCAACCATCAGACGCTTATTCTGATCAGTTTTGAGTATTTTTTAGCCCACCGCACAGGGTCTTCGCCCTGGGATCGTTTCTTGGGTTTGGGGGTCTGACAGAGCGGTATCAGATCCTGGCTGCGTCTGACCATGCGGGCATCATCCCAGATGCCTCAGCTCTCCCGCCTTTGGAGTCCAGCGCCTTCAGCTATTTCCCTGCCCCTCCTGGGCTACGCCTTGCAGACTGTCCGGGGCCTGTGTGTCGAAACCAGTGCTGGTCAAGAGAAGTAGAATGCCACACACACACACACCATGCAATTTTTCATTTTCTGTCGAGGCAAGGAAGCCCGCCTGAATTGACAGAGGAACAGGAAGCAGGTGGAAAGAGCACACACACCCTTACCTGGCAGGCTTCGTCCCTTGTTAGCAGAACCGAACCAGAGCAGCTAGCCAAGCCCCACCGAGCGTGGCATAGAAGCAAAGGTTTGGAACTGAGACACCATAACTTAATCACCACATATTTTAGGTTTCATGAAGCACCCCAATTCAGGCTAGGCTATGGGGTTGTTATTGTTAAGTGCCATTGAGTCGATTCTGACCCATAGCGACCCTGCATAGGGTTTCCAAGGAGCAGCTGGTGAGCTTGAACCACTGACCTTGCAGTTCAAACGACTTTGCAGTCTGACGCATTAGCCCACAGCGTGACACCAAGGACGCCAGGCTATGGGGTGGTGGTGGTTATGTGCCGTGGAGTCAGTGCCGACTCATAGCGACCCTGTACAGGTTTCCGAGGCTGTAAAACTTCACCAGAGCAGAAAGCCTCATCTTTCTCCCGCGGAACAGCTGGTAGTTTCGAACTGCTGACCTTAAGGTTCACAGCCCGATTCGTAACCACTAAGCTATACAACACCCAAACCTTATTTTTCCCACTCATCCATACACTGAGGGGAGGAGGGCACACCCTCTCTAGCTATACTGGGGTCACTGGTGGTGAAAGAGACATTCTGGTTTTTCCTTTGACCTAAAAATCATAGACATCACTTCTACTTCCAGTCCATTGGCTAAAACCAGCTATATAGTCTCAACCTAACTGCAAGGGTACTTAGGTAAATGGAATGAGCCACAATAATTACTGCTTTTAGCATTGTAGGTTCCGCACTGGACTGTGAACCACAAGGTTGGCGGTTCAAACCCTGTACAGGGTCGCTATGAGTCGGAATCGACTTGAAGGCACTTAACAACAGTAACGTAATTACCGTGGAGTCCTGATGTGACACTGTAGGATAAAGCACTAGACTGAAAGGTCAGTTTGAACTACAAGGTTGGCAGTTGAAACCCACCAGCTGCTCCTCCAAAACCCTATACAGGGTCACTATAAGTTGGAACCTACTCTATGGTACTTTACCAACAGCATTATTACCATGGAGTCATGGTGTGGCGCTGTAGGATCAACGCTGGATTGCTAATCGAAACATCAACAGTTCAAACCCACTAGCTGCTCTTCGGAAACCCTATACCAGATCACTACCAGTCAGAACAGCATGGACCGCACTTAACAGCAGTAATAATTCCCATATCTTAACAACAAAGTAATTACCATTGGAGCCCTGAGAGCACTGTAGGATAAGCACTGGACTGCTAACCAAAAGGTCAACAGTTCAACCCCACCAACCATTCCACTGTAGAAAAATGAGACTTTCTGCTTCTGCAAAGGTTTCTAGCCTCAGACACCATATACAGGGTCCCATAAGTCAGGCTCCATATCACGGAGTAAGACTTTATCATTGTTGTTGTGGGGTGCTGGTGAGTCAGTTCTGACCCGTAGTGACCCTGTATTTGACAGAATGAAGCACTGAAGGGTTCGGCACCACCCTCACAATTGCTGCTATGCTTGAGCCCATTGCTGATGCCACTGTGCCAGTCCACCTTGTTGGGGGTCTCCCTCTTTTTCGCTGACCCTCCACTTCACCAAATATGATGTCCTTCTCAAGGGACTGGTCCCTCCTAAGAATAAGTCTGAAGTATGAGAGATGAGTAGATAAACATTTGGAGTCCTTGTATGGCATTGTAGGATAAGCTCAGGACTACAAGGTCAGTTTGAACCACAAGGTCGACTGTTCAAACTGACCAGTAGCTCATGGGAAATTCTATCTATGCTGGGTTGCTATACTGGCTGACTTCGTCTTTCACACTGCGGACATATTGTCAGGAGGAACCAGTCGCTGGAGAAGGATATCATGTTTGGTAAGGTGGAGGGTCAGAGAAAAAGAGAAAGACCCCCAATGAAATGGATTGGCCAAATGGCAGCATCGATGGACTCAAGCATGGCAACAGTAGTGAGGTTGGCCCAGGATTGGGCAGTGTTTCGTTCTGGTGTGCATAAGATCGCTATGAGTCAGTACCAACTGGATGGCACCTCACAACAACAAGATCATTGACTCTGATCATATGCTACCTCTTGAAATAGTTGAACATGGACCATTGCCTCTTGTTACAGTGACTCTTTGTGTTCCTTCCATCTTCTTTTAATGTTTTCTGTATCATCCAATAGTTTCCCATAGAATCCTTCATATTACAAATCGAGGCTTGAATTTTTTCCTTCCATTCCCTCAGCTTGAGGAATGCTGAGCATGTTTTTCCCTTATGGTTTTCTAATTCCAGATGAAAATCCTGTAGCCCTGAACTTCAGATGAAAGGTTAGAGAGGTGAATTGGGTGCTTGCTGGGAGGAGAAGCTGAGCAGAGACACCAAGAGATGGAGAGTAACTGGTGAACTTCCAGCCAGATGTGGCATTACCATCTTGAACCTCTGTGAGCATCTTTGGGACTAGAAGGTGGTCTGGTGGAGCAGAGTCACATGGGCAATGGGAAAGGTGTGATTTCTTCTTTTTTCCTCGCACTTCCTTGGTGATCAGAGATGTGGCCAGCTCTGACCCTATCTACCCCCAACACAGCCCTTGTTTTCCTAAAGTTCAGGGCCATGTGATTGGGAGCCATGCCAATGTGAGGCAGGGGCTGGCTGCAACACACTGAGATCCAGACCAATAGAACCCACGGAGCCACCAGACCAGCATTTAACTAGTCACTGTGTCCCCAGCTGCCCTGTGGCGCTAACAGACACCAAAACAAACTCCATCAAAGGCTGCCACAAACTACTGATTGAGTGCCCTGCACCTAGAGAACGCTGAGGCTGCCCGGGGCTCCAGCTGGGACCCAGAACTCCGCGGCCACATCCCTTCCATACCCACCTGTGAGCGCCTTGGCTTACAGGAGCGTCCTAGAGTTTTTTCCTTTCCAGTTCCAACAGCTGCACTCGCTTTTTAGCTTTTTATTAGCTTTTGCTTTTTGTTGTTTCTTTTTTTTTGTTTTTTTCTTAAATGTTTTATTGTGAATTATGTGATAGTTTACATGGGAGAACATTAGTTTTACATTCATTCTATCGTATATCGTCTCATTGCCATGGTTACGATCCCCTCCATGCAATCCTTCCCCTGTACCCCCCAGGTCTTCAGCACACAGTCGCTCTCCCTCTCTGGATCTAAAGTCTCCAGCTGCTCCATCGCTCCACGTCATCATCTCTGGCTCCATTTCAGGCATCACTGCTTCTCTGGGTAGGGTCCTGCTCTCTGCTCTTCTCCCTTGATGGTCCTAGGGACCTCCGCTCCTAGACTGAAAAGTTAATCACTCTCCTCCTTACTATAAAATGTCTACCTTTACATTTCCGACCTTCACAATCAGTCCTGATAACAGTTATTCACTATTGTATCACAAGAGACCCGTCTGCATTTCATTTCATCAGCTCCGGCTAGTCAGATTGAATACTACTCACTGGAGATTCTACCTTCCTCCAGGCCCTCTGGATCTAGGTTCCCTCTTGAAAGCTTGTAAGCCAGTCACTTCTTGCCTTTGTAGCTCCGCCCCCCATTTTGGGTAGCCAGTGTCCAAGTTGCCCATCCCTGTCTACTCTGCGTGTGCTTTCCTTCTGTGTGCTTATTTTTTATTCTTTCTCCCAGTTCTTCTCTTTTCATTTCCTTGAATTTTACCCTTTCAAGCTCTGCATTCGCTTTTCCTTTCCTCCTGTTTCTCATTTCCCCTCTTCTTCCCCCCCAGTTTTGATATTTCTTTACTTCTCTCTTTTTCTCTTTTCATCTTCCCTCCCCCTCGTTTTCCTAAGTGTTTTTCTCCCTTTTATTCCATCTTCTCTTCTAAAGCTCTATTCTGTGTCACTCTTGTCTCTTTTTAGTGACTCTTAAATGTTGTTGTTCTTTCCGTTTACTTTCTCATTTGTTTTTATCTTCTATAGCTCCATTTCTCAGTTTCTTTGTTTTTATAGTTTTATATTCACTTTATTTTGATTGCTACTTGTTTTTCTTTTTTTCTCTTTATTATTTTTTATTTTCATTGTTGGATTGTTTGTTTATTCTGTTGTATTTTCTTGTGTGTATATGTTGGAGGGGTTTTCTCTTTCCTACCTGACAGGAAACAGCAACTGTGCCCATACAGCCCAACCACAACTATGCCCTCTGCAGCTTCACCCACTGGGCAAGAGCCAATATCAGCTCCTGTATCACCTGATCAATGGTAGATAGCAGTCAACACCAGCCAGACCCACCCTAAATTGGGGTTCAGGAAAGGCAAACCAGAACGGTGTACACACTTTCATTCTCCAACTATA